AATGTGTTTTAAACTCAATCTACGGCAACTTTATTTTAGTGTATTTTAAAACGAGGCTCTTCATTAGCTTCTTACATGTATTTGCATACAGAAATTCTCCTTGTGACGTCAGAAGGGGAAGTCGCATGGCAGCTTGCATTGCCGATACGTGTAAATAAGGCAAATTTCTTCTGCAGTTTTTCTTGTCTTTGACTAAATTTTCACTTATGTACTTGTTCGTTGAGGAGGAATGGACCATAATGAACACATAGTATCAATTTTTGTTGCATGGGGTTAAGTCAGATGCGAAATATGTTCGTTCTGGTGTAGCTGGTCACCGTGATCATCAGCGGCGCACGTTTGTACACTGTCGCTGGACAAAATAGAATTTGACGTCGGAATTATCTCGTTATTTAGCAGGTTACTAGGCACGTCACTACACTGTTTTATTTCATTGATCGTCTGAGTAAAACTTTCAAAATTAAAATAAAAGAGAACATATTTTGACATTCTAAACATTAGACCATAGTGATCACTGTAAAATAATTTAAAAAACGACAAATCACAGTTACTAAATAAATGACAGCCGCGTGGAAATAAATTGAAATTTTGTTGAAATAGGTGAACGAGTCAGGTCACGACGAGGGCAAGTGTGTTAAAAGCGACGTTTAATTGGATAACAAAAATAATCGAGATTGATTCTTATTTCAGAAATTATTACGCAGATCAAGCTGCAAGCATGGAGGTAAAACAAGAACAGAGGTGTGAATTCAACATTCAACACAAACCACCAAACAATTCAGAAACTTTTAGCCTTGGAAAATGAAAACAATTAGCAGGATGTAAGGGCTGTGTAATTTCCTGTTTGTCCGACGCTTCGTTTACGTGTCACTGTCAAAATTATTGCTACTTTTACTTAACAGGGACTAAATGGTCTCTATAAAACGATAATCACGATCGCAAAAAAGTCAACTCATTTGAAACACTTGCCAGACGTCTCTCTCTCTTCTGAAATTCGCCTCGGTGATCATGGGCTGGTCCGGAATCTATTTCTTTCAAAAGTGTTGCGCCAGGTTTATGTTGTCGGCGTTTCTCTTTAAACCTAGTTGTTTTTTTCATGGAAGAGGACAGTTTTTCCAAAAAATGAATCTGAGGTTAAGTGGCTTTCATCCACTGATGTCGCACCTTCGGATTGATTAGAAACATGTGAATACTTACACTATGACTATACATTTCACTGCAACTGCCCACAACACAACACAACACAACTTTCATCCACTGATGTCACACCTTCGGATCGATTAGAAACGTGTGAATACTTACACTACATGTATGACTATACATTTCACTGCAACTGCCGACAACACAACACAACATCTAAAAACTCTCTCTCTCTCAAAAAAAAGAAAATAGACAAAAAAAGAAAGAAAACAAACGCTGACTGAAAAATGTATATCGTTTAAAAGTATACTGAATGACCAGTGTTATTACGGCTCAGCGGTATGACTTCCTCTCACATTTTGGCATTTGGTGGCGCACTTTCGGCGAGAGTCGGAAATCCGGAAACAGTCGACCGTTTCAGGATAGGTGGGCGTGGCTACAACACGAGAAATATCCCAAATTTACTTGGATACGAGTAATC